TCATGCACGGTTGAGCACCGGCCCAATCTATTGAGGTACTGCCACAGCTCCCATTGTCATAGTATCATTAATCAATTTAACCTTAGGACACTGTTGTCTCGTGCTATGAGACCCATTGTACACATAGGGAACTCAGGTAGAGGGAGACAAATTGACCCAGCTCTTCCAAGTCCCAGGCTAACACCTGAACCACCAGGCTATCCTTCCTGTCCACTAATTGTAAATTCTTTGGGCAAATGCTCTTACCAGCTGGAGACCTCAGCTATAGCAGCCATTGCCCATTACTTTCTGCTATCACAGACCTTGAGCTGGTGGTAAGCTGTATGTGTGCAATGTAAGCTCCTTGGGGAGTTGGTCCATGCCCCAGTGAATAGGAGGTGGTAGCAGCCTGAAACCGCTGGCAAGCGTGCTGGCTCTTTAAGACGGGAGCTAGGAGCCTGCAGAGATCAGTCTGATCACGTGTGAGTCAGCATCTGTGCAAGGCTGCTAGCTGGGCATGTTGGACTCAACACGCTCTGCTGACACTAGGGTGCCCAGATCTGCATCTCCTTCCTCGGTCATGCAGACCACAGACTTGGTACATGAATCTAGCCAAAGGCCTCATATTCAAAGCCCTGAATGGGCTGGGGCCCAGTCCTTTCTGCAAATGTAGGTCTCTCTCTTTGGTCCACATCACATTTGCTACACTCGCTGATGCTCAGCAGTGATGCTTTGGCTGATGGAGTTCAGGTTTCAACTTTTGATGGTCAGGGGCAGCATGTACACCTGTGTACACTGTAATGATGTTTACTTCCAATATATTATTCAGTCACTAGAGGTCTCTGTGCTGTATAGAGATCCAGACTTGGCGAACAAGAAGACAAAGCTGAAACTCAAGCTGTGCGCAAGCCTGTTTATGGCTGTGGACATAGCTTAGTTTAATCAACACCTTCTGCTCACAAAGTCCATTTCATGGCATATGCTAGAATTTCCCCAAACAATTGTATCATAAGACTTGATGCAAAAGGAATCCGTTATCAGCCCTTGTCACTGCAAGAAACCAGAAATGAGCTCCACCTTCCAACTATTAATACTGTGAATAATTCAGCTACTGCAATGTGGATGTAATGTGCTGGCTAAATGCATCTATCTGCTTGTCTCCCTCCAGTAGCTGACCCCAGTGAAGATAAAATCCTGCTGATTACCAATAATTAATGAGTTAGCTCCTTTAGTTCAAGACAAGTGGCAGGGGCTTGTGGTGCCATTGGTCCAGGGTTTGACCCATTTTGCCTATTGTCTGCATCCACAATTTTCTACGAGCACTACAGAATCAGAGAATGCTTTTTTCCCTGTGTCTCGCTTCTTGCAGGTTCATTTCCCCAAGACAATTTCACTCTGGCTTTGGGGGTTGAACAAACCCAGAAAGCACTGGGGTTTGGCTGGGCCCTTGGGGCGCTGCTGACAGACAGGGGGAACGGGCTCGTTTCTGCTGCCGAGTCTGGCTCATGTTTTTCTGGATGGCAGTGACTAACCTAGATACTTCCAAAGTAGGTTACTCTATTGCTAGAGCAATGAAAGTAAGTGGCTGGAAAGGCCCTGTTACCACTGTGATGGGCACAGACCGAGATAAAGGGAAAGGATCCTACCTCATTTAATAAAAGGAGTACTTGTGGCACCTTAGAGACTAACCAATTTATTTGAGCATGAGCTTTCGTGAGCTACAGCTCACTTCATCAGATGCATACCGTGGAAACTGCAGCAGACTTTATATATACACAGAGAATATTCTGTGTATATATAAAGTCTGCTGCAGTTTCCACGGTATGCATCTGATGAAGTGAGCTGTAGCTCACGAAAGCTCATGCTCAAATAAATTGGTTAGTCTCTAAGGTGCCACAAGTACTCCTTTTCTTTTTGCGAATACAGACTAACATGGCTGTTACTCTGAAACCTACCTCATTTAATGGCTTTTATTAACCTACAAGCTAATTCCATAGTGGGGTGTGTTTCCTAGTGGTCAGAGCTAGGAGGCTGCATATCAGGAGCCCTGGGTTCTGTTTCCTGCTCTCTCACTAACTCCCTGTGTGGGCTTGGGAGGTCAGTTACTTTCCCTGGACCCCAGGCCAGGTTTGTGCTGAGGAGGGGAGATCAGTGTTGACAACTCTTATGATATTTGGTGGGTTTTTTTTAAAGCCCCAGCTCCTAGAGTCAGGTGATGGTGTGAGAATCTTGGCTTTTATTTAAAACAAAACAAAACCCACGTGTGTTTCGAGTGCTCGGCGTCACAGAGAAAAGCTTGCCGCTGCAATGCCCACAGGCTCAACCATATGATTTTTTGAAGTCAACCTCGTGATTATTGGGGCCTGACTCCTGGCTTGTAAACTCCTGGGGCTGGCCACACAGGGAGCACTTTCAGAGCTGCTCAGTGCTGGAGGGCACCAAACCTCTGCAGGGCCAGTAACATGCCAGGTGTTCCACAGCTCAGAGGCAAGTACTGTCCATGCTTCATCAGCTAGGCCTGGGAGGGGGTGGCACTCGCCCTACCATTCAGATGCATGGCTAAAGGGAAGGGGTGTTTTACTCCAGCTGGCACGAAAGGGAGAGGTGGCACTAGCCTAGGTGCAGAGTTGCAGTTCAAAGGGAGTGGTAGTTGGTCCTATGTGGGCCCCTGGGGCCGTCCAGTTGAGAGTTAGGGTTCTCTGGGTCTAGTGCCTCTCTAGGCTAGTCCTCCATTGAAAGCAAACAGGAGCTTGCAGGCTTCCAGGCCAGGATCAGGTAGTGCTGTGTCTCATGGGGGCCCCTCTGCACTGGCCCCGGCCCCGCCTCTGCTGCTTCCCCATGTGTCCTGCACTGACCTGCTCCCAGCTGCAGCATCTGACAGTCACACCCTGCTTCGCATGTGGTTCCCTGGCTGTGTCCCTCCCTGCTCACATCCAGCTTCCCTGCTGCATCTGGCTTGCCATGCCACTGGTGTCTCCCAGATGCCAGGCGACTGCCCAGGGAAGACTTTTTGCACAGAGATTGCTGCCTGCTCCTCTACTTGGCTGAGGGAGGGGGTATGTGCCTGCATCTCCTCCCCGGCAGGTCTTAGATTGTACAGCCAAAAGGGACCACTGTGATCATCTAGTCTGAGCTCTGCAGAACAGGCCCAGAGCTTCCCCAAAGTCCTTCTTCTTTGAACCAGAGCAGCTCACTTAGCAAAATCTTGTCAGGGATGGTCCAAGGCGCTGCGTGGGGGGGCATGGGAGGAACGCAAACTCCTCCCCCCACCCCCGCAGGTAACATGGGGCCGGGAGAGTGCCGCAGTGGCTCAGGGCAGGGAGAGTGTCACTGGGCAGAGGAGACTTGCGGGGAAGACACGTGTCTTCCATTTTAAATTGTGCCCCCCACTGTGGGCAGGCACAAGTCATCTACCCACCACATAGGACAGTGGGGATAGGGCTGAAGGGGATGGTAGTTTCCCTTAGTGGAGTCATTGCAATGACCTCAAATGGCTCCTTTTCCTCCTGCAGACACAGGCCTGGTCTATGCTTCGGAGTTCTGGAGCACCCACCGGCAGCTCCCCCGCCCCGCCCCCCCGCTCCAACTCACCTCCGCTCGGCCTCCGCCTCCTCCGTGAGCACACCGTGTGCCCACTTTTCCCCCCTCCCTCCCAGTGCTTGCGCCGTGAAACAGCTGTTTCATGTGGCAGGGAGGGAGGAGGAGGAGGAGGGGGAATGAGGCATGCTCGGGGAAGAGGTGGGGCTGGGGCGGGGATTTGGGGAAGGGGCCCAATGGGGCAGGGAGTGGGCGGAGTTGGGGCAGGGACTTTGGGGAAGGGGTTGGAATGGGGGCACGGCTGGGGCGGGGAAAGGGTGGAGGCGGGGAGGAGCTGGGGGGGGGGGGGCGCGAGCACACACCGGCGCCGGGGAAAGTTGGTGCCTATGACCATGACAAAGCTGCAGCGCTGAATAGCCTATTTTTGAAGGGGGTTCCCAACAAAAATTAAGAACGACCAGACTGGGTCAGACCAAAGGTCCATCTAGCCCAGTATCCTGTCTTCCGACAGAGGCCAATGCCAGGTGCCCCAGAGGGAATGAACAGAACAGGGAATCCTCAAGTGATCCATTCTCTGTCGCTCATTCCCAGCTTCTGGCAAACAGAGGCTAGGGACACCATCTCGGCCCATCCTGGCTAATAGCCATTGATGGACCTATCCTCCATGAACTTATCTAGTTCTTTTTTGAACCCTGTTATAGTCTTGGCCTTCACAACAGCCTCTGGCAAAGAGTTCTACAGGATGACTGTGCGTTGTGCGAAGAAATACTTCCTTTAGTTTGTTTTAAGCCGGCTGCCTATTAATTTCATTTGGTAACCCCTAGTTTTTGTGTTATGGGAAGGAGTAAATAACACTTCCTTCTTTACTTTCTCCACACGGGTCATGATTTTATAGACTCTTATCATATCCCGCCATCTAGACATCTTAGACACTGTACAGACGCCATGGCGCCATGGCGCCATCTAGCTAATGCCTTGGGTAAACCTCATTGCCACATGGGCCGGGGATCAAGTTTGAAAATGCTATGTTCCTGGTTTTGCTCCCTTCTACCACTCCTCGGGGACAGGACTGTTGAGGAGGAGACAGAAGATACACAGGGATTCTAGGAAGCAAAGAAAGTGAGGGCTTGGTTTTTCAGAGGCGTTGAAGTTCCCGCCAGCCCCACTCCTGCAGCGATTCCCCTGCAGATGCACAGATCCTGCTCATGTGAAGCACTGTGCAGGATCAGATTCACAGACTGAAGTGGCTTTGACAACCCTGGCCACTTCTGATACAGAGAAGATGTTCTCAAAAGGGCATCTTTCCAGATTAATAATAATAATCCCTAGTTATTATACAGTGCTTTGCAGATCTTAAAGGGCTTCACCAAGGAGTTCAGTACCATTAACGCCATGTCACTTGATGGGCAGAGATGTGTGTGTGTTATAAAATCTCATCGTCAACAGAAATTTGTCCAGACCTTTTCTTAAGAACACAAATTAAACAGAACTTAAAACATGATTTTATTTTTTTTAAAGTGAAAGTTCCCCTGTTGCCAGTGCTAACAAAATCATTCTGGTTTCATTGGGGTAACACTGTGTCAGTAACACACATACTGAGGGATCCGAATAAACATTATTTTAAAATCTGCCAATGTCTATAAAAAGTTATATGAGAGTAGGGGGAGAATCTGTGTGGGTTTGTTATTTATTTCATATCAGCTCCTGTTTTTGAATACAGGGGAAGAATTTATCTCTTTCTATGCACCCTCTGCTGTTGCTGGTTTGTTTGTTTTTTTCTAGTTCTAAGATGTTGCCTTGTTGCTATTTAGTTAAATATTAAGAGCTCAAGTAATGGGGGGGAAAAATCTAATTGCACGGCTCCCTCTTGTACAGGCTGTTTTTTACGGCGGGAGCAAACACAGACTCTTTACTCTATTAAAAGGTTATCCCGATCACTGAGGACATGCTGTAATCCAACCAGATTGCTGAATAGCTGTGGATCATAAAACCACAGAGAGTGAAAATGCCAGCTCGCTGCAGGGTAAATGTTAAAAGGCACCAGCAGATAGGTGATAATACCCTTTATTTATATAGCAACGCACTTTACAGGGGGCAAGGATGGTCTTGTGGCTAAAACTCTTGCCCGGGAATGGGCAGAGATGGCTTTGATTCCCAGCTCTGCCACACACTTCCAGTGGGTTCTTGGGCAAGTCACTTAATCTCCCAGTGCCTTAGTTACGCATATGTAAATTGGGGCTAATGCTGCCAGTGTGAGAACTTCAGGACTGTCTGTACAGTGTCTAAGAGCTCAAAGTGGCCCTGATCCCAGCTGGAGCTGCTGGGTGCTACTGTAATATAAATAATGTGGACCAAAGTCATGTTCCTACAACTGACAGTGCCAACCTTTGGGTGGAATATGGTGGATGTCTACCAGCACACGACAACCTTACATGGCTAATTAGGATAGCAGGACAAACTGAGAGACAGAATGTGGTTACCCATGTTGGAATCTGCTCAGGACAGCAGAGCTATTTTTGTGAACCTTTTATGGCCACAAGGGGACAGGAGCACAAGCTGTAGGAAAGTGGAAGGCTGGCCTAGTGGTTAGAGCCCTAGCCTGGGACTAAGGAGAAGTGGGTTATATTCTCTGCTCTGCCTCAGTCTCCCTGTGTCTTGGTTTCCCCATCTGTAAAATGGGGATAAGAGTGACTGTGAGAACAAACAATGGAGGATTGTGAGGTGCTCAGTTACTACAGTGCCATGGAGTGAGCGAGAGGGGTCTGAGGGCTCTTTGGAAGAGCCACGTGGTGTTAGCTGTCACAGGTGCAGCCTGGGATCAGCTCCCCTCCCTCAAACATCACAGGGGCTAGGACTGGAAGGGACCTCCTAGGTCAGTCTCCTGCTAGCTAACCCCAGCACATACACTTAAAGCTGGCTTAGGGGGTTTGTTCCCTGGTGGGAGGCTGCTCCAGACCCTCCCACACTCTGCTGGGTAGAAACCTTCCACTAATTTCCAGTCTGAATTTGTTCATGGCCACTTTATCCCCGTTTGTTTCTTGCCAGCATTGTCCGTTAATGGCACTAGCTCTTCTCCCTCCCCGGCGTTTACCCCATTCCCCTGCTGTATTTATAGCGAGCTGCCAGAGCCCTGCTCAGCCTTTGTTTTCCTAGGCTCTCTTCGTCCCCTCTTACACGACAGGCTCTCCGTTCCCCTGACCATCCTCGGAGGCCTTTCCTGCACCTGTGCCACTCTGAATTCATCTCTCTGGAGTTGCACCCAGTATTCCAGATGAGGCCTCCTCAGTGCCTTGTTCAGTGGCATTGACGCTTCTCTAGCTCGACTGACCCGCCCCCAGGGTCGCAGCTGCCTTTTTGATGGGCTGCATTAGCTTTCCAAAGCACCGCGGCTGTAGCTGCCCTCATGTTTCTATCAGATGAAAAGAGAAAAAGAGGAGCCATTCCCAGGCTGAACTTGCCCTGCACTGGTGAAAATCCCTGCACTTGGATTTCCAGAGTCCTGATCCTTTGGGGTGGCCCAGCTCAGAGAAGGCAGGGGCACTTTGGATGAAATTTTGTCTCAAAGGCCGCTTGGGAATGACATTGTCTCTCACTAGCTAAGGGATGCATTCAGGCTTTGTGCCATCAGTACAATCGCTCTGAAGCAGCTGTAGCTAGTGAAAATACATGGCTCAAACCCCATGCAGCTAGTTCTCCTCCTACAGCTTCTCTCTAGGGGAAGCAGTGTGGGGCACAAACCTACAGCCTATTTTTGAACCAGGTGTGGGGAAGAATCACAGAATATCAGGGTTGGAAGGGACCTCAGCAGGCCATCCAGTCCAACCCCCCGCTCAAAGCAGGACCGATCCCCAATTAAATCATCCCAGCCAGGGCTTTGTCAAGCCTGACCTTAAAAACTTCTAAGGAAGGAGATTCCACCACCTCCCTAGGTAACACATTCCAGTGTTTTACCACCCTCCTCGTGAAAAAGTTTTTCCTAATATCCAACCTAAATCTCCCCCACTGCAACTTGAGACCATCACTCCTTGTTCTGTCATCTGTCACCACTGAGAACAGTCTAGATCCATCCTCTTTGGAACCCCCTTTCAGGTAGTTGAAAGCAGCTATCAAATCCCCCCTCATTCTTCTCTTCCGTAGACTGAACATCCCCAGTTCCTCAGCCTCTCCTCATAACTCATGTGTTCCAGTCCCCTAATAATTTTTGTTGCCCTTTGTTGGATTCTTTCCAATTTTTCCAGGAGGAGGAGGTTAATAGGACCTTTTGAATTTAAGCAATGTGTGTCTGTTAGTGTGATGGCTGCAAGATCTCAGCTGACACTGGGGATTGAACCAGTGACTTCCTCTGGGGGTTCTGGGCAGGTGGGAGCTGTAACAGACCTCCATCCTCTGCACATCAGGCAGAGAGCATGTAATACACAGACCAACGGTTTACACTAGAGTATACGTGTGAGTTACACTACTGTCTGTCTAAGGGCTTGTCTACACATGAATCTTATTCTGGATTAAGGCTGGGTGTGAACTCAAAGTGGAACTGCTAGTCCAGAATAACTCCATGTGTAGAAAAGATGTAAGGGATTTATCTGGCCCTCCATTACAACTGTATCTGAGCCCCGTCCCAGTCTAATGTATTTCTTCTCACAAGACCCCTGTGCAGTAGGGCAGTGCTGTTACACTCATTGTACAGATGGGAAGGAACCCACAGGGAGACTAAGTGACTTGCTGAATTTCATGCAGGAATTGAAGCTAGTCTCTCAAGTCTCAGGCTAGCCACCCTAACCACTGGGCCAGGCTTCCTCTCGACTGCATGACAGCTCCTGTGTAGGGATCCAGGGCTGCACTTGCCATAAACCACAGAGCAAATGTACTCATTAACTGCATGCCTACCCCGCCTTTGAAAATCCTGGCCAGTCAGAAAATCAGGTCTGCCCCAGCCAGCTCCACCCGCTCTTCTGTTTCACCTGCCTGAAGTGGCGGTTCCTCTCCAATGGGACAGGGCCGCAGGCTGCCCTGCTCCTGTTCACCTGGCACCTGAGCCTTGTCACCTGATCTGGGGGAAGGACGGATCCTCTCTGGAAATGGGTGTGGGCCAGAGACCAAGGCGGCCGGTGAAGCTGCAGTAACTGAGGCTCTGGGCTGGGGATCTGAGCAGGGCTGGCAACCCAGCCTGGGGCTCCCAGCACCTTCCCAAGCTGCTGGGGCCCTCCCCACCACACACAGGGCTGGAGCTGTGCTGGGGTGATAAGCTTCAGCCCCCCGAGGGGCTGAGCTGGGTTCCAGAGGGCGAGGCCCCTTTATGGGGGGCGTTCCCCGTCTGCTTCTGTGGAACAGGAAACCTGCCTCTGCTAGTCCCCTAAGCCCCTCCACCAACTCACTCCCTCTGCACCTTGCCTGTCCCCCGAGGGACTGATATTCCCCCCCGCCCCCCGCAGGCATGGCAGAGCAATGAGGAGGGAGCGGCACAGTGTATCGTGGCCATGCAGCCAAGGTACAGCTTTTGAATGGTGTTGCAGGGGCTCAGATACCCTGGCACCAGCAGCAGTTTCCCTTGGGGCATTGACCCACTGGGCTCATCCCTGCCTAAATAATGACCCAACCGGCGCCCCTTTCATCCGTCTAGGGCAGGGGTGGCCAACCTGAGCCTGAGAAGGAGCCAGGATTTACCAGTGGACATTGCCAAAGAGCCACCGTACTACGTCAGCAGCCCCCTATCAGCTCCTTCCCCCCCCCCCACTCCCAGCGCCTCCCACCCACCAGCAGCCCTGCCGATCAGTGCCTCCCCCTCCCTCCCTGCACCTCCCAATCAGCTGTTTCATGGCGTGCAGGAGGCTGGGGGTGGGAGGAGTGAGGGCACGGCAGGCTCAGGGGAGGGGGAGGGAAGGGGTGGAGTGGGGGCAGGGCCTGTGGCAGAGCCAGGGGTTGAGCAGTGAGCAACCCCCTGGCCCACTGGAAAGTTGGCGCCTGTAGCTCGAGCCCCGGAGTCGGTGCCTGTACAAGGAGCCGCAGATTAACTTCTGAAGAGCCGCATGTGGCTCCAGAGCCCCAGGTTGGCCACCCCTGGTCTAGGGGATAGAAACATCCCTGGGGTTGGACAGAGACCTGCCCAGTGCAGCTGCCTCCCATGCGGTGTCCCTGGAGCGGCTGGCTGGGTCCATGGTGCGGGCAGCTCTACACGCCATCCCGCCAGGCTTCCCGCAGCCTGGCCTTCACCTTGAACTGCTGCACTTGGAGCACCACGCCGAACTTGCCCTCCAGCGCAGGCAGCGGCTGGCCCGGATGGACCTCCAGGGTGAACCTCTGCAGGATCCAGGCCAGGAAGAGGAAGATCTCCATCTTAGCGAGGGCTTCGCCCAAGCACACCCGGCTCCCGGCTCCGAAGGGCAGGTAACTGGGCGAGGGTGAGTAGATCCGATTGCCCTCCTCATCCAAGAAGCGACCTGCAGGGGGCGCAGCAGCCTCATTAAAGGGTGGGACAGCATCGTTGGTGAGATGTTTCCTTATGTGTGGGGTACCTGGGACTGTGGTTGGGGGACGGAGCTGTTCTACAGCAGGATCAAGCCAGCTCTCCCCCCTTCCTTCATGTTCAGCTACTGGCCAAAGGGCCTGGGCAGACCCCCACTTGTGTGGGGGAAGTAGGGTCTCCAGGCTGAAGCTGGCATAGGACTAGGAAGTGCTGGCTTTCCCCCACAGCCCCAGCCCGGAGGGAGAGGTGTAGGGTGTATCCTGGCCCAGTCACACGGTGCACTTGGTGCCTCTCATAAGGGCAGAGACCTGCCAAACTCATCTCACACGTCCATCCAAAGGGCTGTGCCATGGTGCCAGCTTGTGGTGCCAAGGCCCAATTTGTAGCAGCAACCTGAAGGCGTGAGCACTGCACCCTAGACCCGGTCTTCTACACTCCTCATCCCACTTGGGTCTGTCCTGATTCCCTTGCTCCATTCGAAGGAGCGAGACAAGGCCTCTGCACTTGGAGCCTCTCTGATTTATTGCCAGCCCCTGTGTGCCCCCTGATCCTGACCGCTCTTGTCTCCTGGGAAGAAGCTCTAGCCTGGCACAGTCCAGCCTGCGTAAGGTTAATCCAAGTTGGGCCAAACTGGTGCTGCACGCAGGAGGCTCCAGTGCAGCTGGTCACCTGTGGGCCCAGCACTGCCCAGAGGGAAGCGGGTCCCATTGCTCAGCAGCGCCCCCTTCTGGATGCTTGAGGAGCAGCGTCACTAGGCTCCACACAGCCCCACGCTGTCCTCCATCTGGGAGGATGGGGACTGGGGACTTGAGGGAGGGCAGCACCACCTAGCCCAGGGAGCCCCCCAAGCTAGAATGAGCCCCTGGCCGCAGCTCTCTCCGCCAGTGATCTGGGCCGCAGCCAGCTCCAAGCTTTGTTTGGGAGGCAACAGAGAGGCAAAATCTGGCACTTCCCTCTCAACCCAGCCTGGCTCAGCAATGACCCCGTCGGCCCGGGGGGCAGAGATGGGCAGGTGCGGATACTAAGCCCAAAGCTTCAGCCAGGAAGGCCAGAGAAAAGGACCCACCTGGGTTAAACTCCTCTGGCTTGTCCCATTCCTTCTCGTCGTGGTGAAGGGACCAGAGGTTGACGAGGACCTGGGCTCCCTTTCGGATGGTGTATTCCCCAATGCTGCAATGTGGTGGGAGAGAGAATAATTCAGTGTGTCGCTCTGCCATCGCCTCCTCCCCCTGTCAAAGGAGGGACAGGGCTGGGTCATGAGCTGGGATGTGCCCAGAGAAGTCTCACCTGGTGTCCGTAAGGGCCACATGTGGGAGCAGTAGAGGGGAGACAGGCCGGATGCGCAGGACCTCGCTGATAGTGGCCTCCAGGTAGGGTAGCTGCTGCCTGTCGCTGAGCTGGGGGTGTCTCTCAAAGCCGATCTTCTGATCCAGTTCCTCCCGGATCTTTCTCTGCACCTGGGGGCACAGCCCAGCCGGGCCAGCATTAGCCAAGGGCGGGGATTGCTAAGGGCTACAGGTCTCCCTATGGCAAAGCATGGCACTTTGGTCCAGCTACTAAATGACCTGGGTAGGGTACGTATACTACTACCCCCTAGTGGATCGAATGAGGACCCCTCACTGTGTGTCTCGGGCCCTGTAAGGCCAAAAGCTAATGGAGATTCTCTGTCAGGACTGTCTGAATTCTGTCCCTAGCTTGGTGCACAGCAGAGCCCCAATCGATAGGTCCCGGCGGGGCCGGGCTTTGTCACAACATTGACCCAAAACCGCCTGTTTGGCCCCTCCAAGCAGGACAGATGTGAAAGATTGGTGGGCCAAACAACCGCTGTTAAATGCTTGCCTGGGTCTGAGCGGGATTTCCAGGGACCCCGGCGTCATTGAGGGGGACCCTAGCCCAAGCCAGGTAAGGGATAGCTATTCCAGAGGAGGTTATTAGTCTAGGACAAACAGGAAATGCCTGTGGACCAGGCCGCTGGGGACACGCTCATCCCGCCCTCCATGTTCAACAGCCAGCCCTGGGGCCACTCCAGGAGTGGCCTGGAGGAGGGAGCACCCTAGAAAGGGACATCTGAGCGCTCTTCTCCAGCAGGCTCTGTGCTTGGGGGTGGGTGCGGGGCGGAAGGGGGGACACGCGCACCTCCGGGTAGTGGAGCAGGTAGAGCACAGCCCACTTGAGCACGGTGCTGGTGGTCTCAACGCCCGCCCCGAAGATGTCGGCCACGGTCATGAGGATATGGTCGTCTGTCAGCTCCAGCGGCAGGGCCAGCTGACTGTTGTTGTTCTCCATGTTGAGCTGGACGCGGAGCAGGGCATCCATCAGGTCATTGACCGAGTCACTGCCCAGCGCTTTCTGCAAGGGGGGCAGGACAGCAGGGGTCAGAGGTGGCCGCAAGGGGAGCTAAGCAGCCGGGCCCCTCCTGGCCCCCCTCTACTCCTCAGCGTCAGTTCATACTAGGGGGGACAGCCACCTAGGGGGTGGCTGTCCCCTCCCTACCCAGAAGGACCCCCACCAGGAGTGGATGAGGAGGTGTGGGCCTGACACTCCAAGCCATGTGAAGGTGGCCATTCAAGATGGACAGGAGCAGCTTCTTTGCCCCCAACCTGTGGCTAAACCTCCCACCTCCCCAGCACTCCTTTCCCCCGCCCAGCAGGGGCTGGGGACAAGGGCAACATTCGGCCCTGCCTGGGAAATGACTGAGTAACAATACTAATCCCGGATAGTAACACCTCGCTCTCACCAGTAGGTCTCACAGTGCTTTGCAAAGGAGGGGGGCAGTACTATTAGCCCCATTTTACAGATGGGAAATCTGAGGCACAGGGAGGGGACATGACCTGCCCACGGTCACTCAGCAGGCCAGCGGCAGAACCCAGCTCTCCTATTCACTAGGCCTGTCAATGTGGCTGGAAAGTATCATTAGGCTCATGTTACAGGTGGGAAACTGAGGCATGGGGTGGGTCCATGACTTGGCACAGGCTGCACACTGGGTCAGCAGCAGAGCTGGGAATTGGACCTAGATCTGCACTGCTGCAGGACGTTTCTATTCTACCCACTCCAGAGTGGGGTGTGGTGGTAGAGCTGAGTGTGGAGAGCCCAGAACTGGGGTAGCAGCAGGGTACTGGAGTTCAGGATGGGGGTGCGCTAGCAGGGCTGGGGCACGCAATCCCATGCTGTAACCCCTTCCCCGCTGTACACCAAGCACTGAGGGTGTGGGAAAAGTTTCTTTTCCTTAGAGCAAGGTGGGGGTTGTAATGGGTGGGGAAGCACTTGTAAACCCCTCCCTTCATACAGCCCCACCTGTCACAGCAGGTGCTGTGTACTCCCATCCCCAGGGTCATGCTGGTCAGCTGGTCAGCTGGGGATCCTGCTGCCTGGGGACAGATCAGCAATGTGGGGTGCAGATCCCTCACTGGTCCCTGCTGCTTCCCCACTGGGGCTGGCAGGGCCTCAATGATTTGGAAACGTGGGGTGCAGATTGTAGCAATACATCCCCCTGCCCGGCGGCTGGGTCCCAGGTCTGAGCCCCTCCCCAGGCCTGGCCCCATGTCTGTGCAGCCTGTGAGCGGCCACACTGAGCTACCTACCTTGTGTTCCTTGAACTTCTTCTGCAGCAGCTGGTCTCTGACCTCGATGCAACTCCTCAGCAACGCCAGGTCCTTGTTGGGAAAAATCTGCAGGAGGAAAGACCAGCGGTGACACCCATTCACTCCACTTCATCTGTGGCAGGTGTGTATCCCAATCCAGAGCAAGTCCCCCCTGGTTCCCAAACTAGCCCTGTTCCTCCAGAGCCCTGGGTCTCCCAGCAGGTCCAGCTAGAGGGGGGCAGGTGGCCCACCGGGGTCCATAGGACCCTTGGTGTCAGGTGCCCTGTTTGGGCAGCGAAACGCTGTGGTCCAGAGTCACCCACTTCTTCTTTTGAATGGCTAGGGTAGGTAGCAACAACTACAAATGTCTAGCGATGTTTGAGAGCCAGCACATTGCTGCAGCAGTGAGCTGGGGAATGTCCTTCAGGGAGCAAGACGACAACCTTTGCCTGGTGCTTTTGTTAAGTTCTGGTGTTTTGTGTGCTCTGTGTTTTGTGCAAATCCACCAACGTACCAAGGTCATCAACTGGCCACTGGATGTCGTTTTACCGACCTCCCATTGAACGTAGTGACAATTCTATAGTCACCCACTGACTTCAGTGAATTCATGCCTGGCGCAGCTCCAGCCACCCTGTTGCTGAGCAGAGAGAGGTTCTATGGGCTACTAGGAGAGACCCAGCCAGCCCACTTTGGCCAGTGAAGAGCGAGGAGGGGCAAACTAGAGGTGGACTAAGAGCGACTGACCATCTCCCCTCTTCAACCACCCCCTCCAGCTCTCACCTGCAGCCAGGGGAAGATGTCCACCAGGCTCTTTTGGCCCACCGTGTTCACGATGCCTTCATTATACTGCAGCATGGCCTCAAACTCGGGGTCCCCTCGCCTGTAGCAGGAGTTGAAGCACAGCGAGCACACCACATTGGTAACAGCTCGGTTGAGCTCCGGGGCCATGTCCAGGAGGGTGTCCTGAAAACTGCTGAGAGACTCGCACAAGGAGGCAGCTTCCCGACAGACTAGAAGGAAGGGGAGAGATGGTGGTGCATCTGGTGAGCACTGGGGCCTAGCAAGTGGGGAGAGTGCGTTGAGTTGGGGTGTGTCAGCACAACTGGGGTGAGGGTAGCTCAAACTGGACAAAGGGGGGGCATGTCGTGCACAGGGCTAGAATAGCAGGGGGGCTGTGGGTCAGGATCGAGGGGTACTGGCAGCGCTGTGGGGGGATCCCATGACTGGAAAGGCAGGGGGGCTGTGCGGGAGGCAAGGAAGATGAGACTGGAAAAGCAAGATGTGTCCCAGCTCATAAGTCAGGCCCAGGAAAACGCGTGGATGATTTTTAAAAATTTCCCAGCAGCATCACGGGTAAAGTATCGATTTTCCCGGAATAAGCGCAGCCACCAAGTCCTCCCCAGACGGATGTGATTTCCCTGCAGGGAGGAGGCAGTACCAGGCATCCATGTGGGCTGATTTCATGCTCGCTGTGGCTCGTAGCTTGTTTTCCAAGCAGCAGTGCCACTAGCTATGTGCCTCGCCTACAACCAGCTGCTGACCCCCTCCGAACTGCTGCTCTGCCGTGACACTGCCGTGCTACCAGCCCCACTGAGCACAAGACCAGCACACGTGGATGGCCACTTCCACCACCCTGCTGTTGGAAAAGCCACAGTACGGGGCTAATGCTGCGATTTCCACGCAGGCAGTGAAATCTTGCTTTTCGCAGGACCCTAGTTGTGATTAAGGCGTGTCAGCAGAGCTGTGATATCCAGAGCCCAGGGCTGGGATAGCACGGGGCCTGCAAGGCGAGATTGGGAGGTTCTGGCAGTACTGTGTGTGTGGGGAACCCGGGCCTGGGACAGCCAGGGGAGCTGTGGGTTGGAATTGACAAGGAGGTGTGCAGGGGAGTGACCTTTGCCATGTAATTAGCTTAGGGAGGCAAATGTGAAGCACCCAGATTTCCCCTAGGGTTTGACGGCAATTGGCCCCAGACAAGCCTGGGGATTGGGGAGGGATGTAGCAGGTGTGGACCAGGGGTAGGTCAGTGAACAGATGGGAGAAACTGAGTCTCAGAGCACCACTGTGACTTGCCCAAGGAATCTGTGGCGGAGCAGGGAATATAACCCACTTCTCCTGGCTGCCAGCACTTCACCCTACCCGCTAGCCCATCCTTCCCCTCTGCTGCAGTTGGCCGGCCTCCCTTGATGCAGAGGCAGGGAAGTGACACTTACTGATTTTCTCCAGGGCCAGCGTCCCTTTTCCAAACATGGAGAGTGACGCATGCACCTGCTTGCGCAGGAATTTCCAGTGTGGGCTGTAGGTGGCGAAGGCGATGTCTTTGCCGTTCCTGGTCAGAATGTCCGTGGTCACCTGAGGGCAAAGAGAGGCACATAGCAATCTCCTCTGCTGGCAGGACTGTGAGACGGGGCGAGGGGAGCCTGGCCTGGGAGCCAGCGATGTCACCTTGCCTCTTCTGCACCCTGCTTTAGCCCATTCTGCTTGCCTGCGGGCCCAGCCACCCTGAGCATTGGAGCTGACCTGAAGCAGCTGTGCAGTGCCCAGCTCCTCCCGGGCCCAAACGGCTGAGCCAAGGTCTAGTGCTCTGCATGGCCAGGGCGGACACATGGGGCTGCCTCCAAGCCCAGGGCGCTGCGGGATGAACAATGGGGACAGTGCCTGTAACCTGCATGGCACACAGGAGCACCTTGTCTTGGGCACTGGAGGCCCCCTCTGGATGTTTAAGGAACAGCACGGCTGGGATTCGACAGGGGAGGAAATGGGCCAGCCTGGCCTCTGGCCTGCAGGTCTCTGGGGTTTGGTGCCTGAGCTTTGTCCTGTCTGCAGCTGGAGTTACAAGGCTGATGGAGCAGCAGCGTGGCGTGGGAGCATGTCTTCCTGCCCTGCCCACTTGGCTGCAGTTCTAGTCTGATTGGTTAGGGTTGGGGGAGCAGTCTTCCACCTCCACAGAGCCCTCCTCCTCCCACCCCACACTTTCTGGCCCTATACAGGTGCAACGCCACTGGGGCTGGCAGAGTTGCACCTTTTGCACACCTCTTGGACCAATGGTAAGTTTGGCCCTTTGGGGCTCTGTAAAGCCCTACACAGAGTCAGTGAAACCATCCCTAGAGCACATTTCATCCCAGAGCATCTACGAGCGCTTTGCATGTTATGCAGGTACCAGAGCAACTTAACCCAGCACTGAAATGCAGCCACCTCTGGGATGGAACGCAGCCCCACTTTAACAGTGCATGCCAGTACCACCCAACAGTTTGGGACTAGAAGTGGCGTGCCCTCCCCCATTGAAACCAGAAAGGGAATGTGGTCAGGGGAGGAGGTTCCTCAGGGACACACAGTGTGGGTCAGCAGGGTCACTCTAATGTTGTGGGGATAAATAAAGCAAAGGAGGGGAAAAGCTGAGTGGCCTTCAGGAGCCAGCTGTGAGTAGAGATGCTGCCACGGTGGGGTCATTACTGTCACATACTGAAGTAACCCTACTGTGACCCAAGAGACCCTCTCAGTGCCAGCTGACAAGGGGTTACAGGCATAGCCGGATTCTGGGCTGTATATTCTGGTTCATCAAAGAATGTTTGGTGAGGTCTAAAGGGAAAGCTGGGGTCACACTGGTCATCAGAGGCCTTGTGACATGTATGTACAGAGACTACGTGAGGCGTTAAGCCCAGAGACTGGAAATACATTTTAACGTCTGTACCAAGACAGTGTTGGCCAGACAGGTTTTCTGTCAGAGAAAGGATGTTTGTTCCCCTGTTTCTCTGTCGGCGTGTAAATAAAGCATAGGAAGCTAACACAATGGGTGCAGATCGACATTCCAAGTCAACAGAGAGACACAAACGCAACAGGGACGAGCACACAGAAAAAACAAGCGACGGCCGGGGTGAGGGGTGATACTGCTTCTGAGGACAGATAATGAACTTTGGGGATGCACGGAGAAGACAAAGAGGACACCCCCTTCTCCTGCACCTAGGAAGTAAACAGGCAGTGCATTTATACCCATGAAAACTGGATCAGAACCAGCCTCGGTCAAAATTTGGGGTGAGAGAAACTGCTGTAGGCAGGAGGTGAACCTGTGAGTTAGTCTCTGGAAAGCATGGTATCATTTTGTTTTACGTATACCTCTTTGTTTCCAGGCTCCTTACTCACCAGCTCCTGAAGCTCTAAACTCTGATAACAAACTTAGTTGTGTTTTCACTATAAATGTAGTTCGGGGCTGTGGTGTTAAATCAAGCGCTGGTTTGGGGCTGAATCTGACCATCTGGTGCATATACTGTGCCTTTAGGGACAGCAAGCCTGGGATTTCTGAGTGTAGCCAGTGTCAGGGGCTGGCTAGTCCAGGGCAACACTTCAAAGGGATGTGGGGAGTGGGGTGCACCTATTGTTGCCCTGCAAATCAAAGTAAGACCTAGCCCAGAGGAGAGTGCTTGGCTGGCTAACAGGCTGGTGGTGTTAGGAGCTGGCCTCCAGCTAAACACATGCAGGATTCCTGTATGCTGGAGGTTGGGGGGTAACCAGGTGACTCACGAGCCTGGGTACCCCGAGAACCAGCCACCTTTGTCATGAGGGTGCCACCCATATGAATAAAGAGGCTTTAGTTCCTGCACAGCAGCTCAAGGGTTAACAGGAGCATGGTTCCCCCCTGTGTGGGACCTCAAGCTGGGGGCTATGAACAGCTTGGGGAGTCAGGGGGTGGATGGGTCTCACAATCACCCCTCCCCTTCTTTCTGGCTAGATGGGAAGGAGGGGAAATGTGGGGGTCACCATAGTGGAAAGGGTCTGACCCACTGCCCTAGTGTGTTTAGCACCTGTCATTCAATGACCTCAAAGCACCGCAAGGTGGGGTATTATCCCCCTGCTTTTAGAGATGGGGAAACTGAGGCGCACAGCAGGGAAGTGCCTTGCCCAAGGACCCCAAGCTGGCTGGGACTAGAACCCAGGTCTCCCACCCCTGTGCTCTACTCTGTAGGCTTTGCTTCCTTTCTCTCCCAGGCAGCTAGAGGGACAGGGCCATGTGGGTTACTTACTGTGTGGGGCCGGCCAGCGAAGGTCTTTCCCTTCTTCAGCAGCACCTCCTTGGCATGCAGGTAGTGGTTCACCACCACCATGTACTGGGAGCCCATCTGCAGGGAGTAGAGGCTGCCGTATTTCTTCTGCAGGCTGTGTAAGAGGAGATGGAACTGGCAGTTATTGGTCAGGTGCAGCAGGCTCCCGATGATGGGCAGGGAAGGCAGGCTCCTGGGGTACCTGGGCCTGGGCTCTGCTTTCCCCTTTGCAAGTCTCCAGAAGGAGAGGAGCGCCAGCATCAGGAGCAGCACTCCCAAGAGTGGGACCATTGTCCTTCGCTGTGGCTGTCGGCTCTCCCTGGAGCAAGTGAGGCGCGGTCCCTTATAAGGGCTTTCGCTGACATTGCCTTGGCTTGGGGTTGCCTGTTGCCTTGCGGAGGGCTGTGTTATCAATAGCTTGGAAGATAACCACTCACTTGGGCTGGAACACAGCCAGCCTCCCGGCTGCCAGCACAGCGAGAGCAGAATCCGTCTTTAGTAAGTTTGGCTAATTGAGCTGGTCTTTGCAAGCTCCTAAAAATCCCAGCAAACCCCCAGCAATATCAACATGGGTTGTGGGTTTGGCAGGCAGGGAGGATCAGCAGTGCCTCATAGGGTCAGAGCTAACCTAGGAAGAGTTACCTTTGCCAGGATGCGTGGCAAGACTTTCTTATTGTTATGTGCATTACGGTAGCAGCTAGAGGCCCCAAGTGAGATCGTGGCCCCATTGGAGCACGTGCTGTACAGCTGCATGGTGAGAGCCAATCCTGGCCCCTAACCATTTACAATCCAGTTAGACAAAGGAAGATTTTGACCCCATTGTACAGATGGGGACCATTCAAGGAGTAAGAGACTGGTCAGAGGTGGGACTTGAACCCAGGACTTCAGAGTCCTAATTCAGTGCTTTAATAATCATGAGCCCTTCCTTAGTGCAGATAAACTCCATGGGGACCAGCCTGCTTGTGCAGGGATCTGGGCAGCTCTCATGAGCTAAGCAGCCTTGGGCTAGTTCAGCAGCACATTGCTGGAAGAGCTGCAGGAAGTGGTGTTGGAAATCCAGTAGAGGGGTGGTCTTCCCCCTGAATCAGTAGGGAGCCAACACCACTGGATCTCCCTCCTTAAAACCCACTTCTTAGAGCCATCCTCCCCTGTGGAATTCTTGCCTGATTTACTGCATACTCTGGGAGGAAGGAGCTAAAGAGGACGCCAAATATCAGAGCTCTGAGAAGGGACCACGGCTGTGTTTTTATATTGCCAAAGTATCTGCATAGGGGCTATAGGGAACAGCCAAGATAACTAAATAGCACAGAAGGACAGCTTTTATGGCTAGCCACAACAGGTACATTAACAGCGTCCATTCCCCAAGTGATCATCCTGCTGACCTGGATAACAGAGGCCATGGGACTTCCCTGAATTCGTTCCTGTTTAAACTAGAGCAGGTCTTCTAGAAAAACAGCCAACTATGATTTTTAACATTTGCTAGTGATGGAGAATCCACCCTAACCCTGGGTAAGTTGTTCCAGTGTTTAATTACCTCCCTGTTAAAAATGTGCACCTTTAATGCTAGTCTAAGGCTGTCCATTTTCAACTTCTAGCCATTAGCTCTTGTTATGGTTTTGTCTGCTAGACTGAAGCAGCCTCTAATATCAAATTTCTGTTCCCCACATAGGTATTTACAAACGGTGATCGTCACCCCTTAACAGTCTCTTTCATCAGCTAAACCGATTGAGCTCCTTGAGTTTGTTACTATTAGGCATGGCTTCCAATCAATTGATCATTCTCATGGCTCTTCTTTGAACCTTCTACGCTCCCACAGGGTTGCATAGGTGTAAGTGGGAGACAGGGTGATGCATGCGGGGAGCGGGAGTGGGAGGGGAAAAACTCAGTTATACTCTGAGATCGCAGACTGAGACGGAAAACCCAACTGGAAGCATAGCTAAGCTGAGAGTCACTGAGGGATATTAAACTGACACAGGTGTCTCACCTGAACCCAGCCGTGCAGCTTTCCAGTGAGTGGGAAGGAAAAGCAAGTGCCTCTGGGGTGCTTTGAAATACCAAGGCTCTACCATTACATAGTTCCACTGTATAGAAAGAAAGGCAGTTATTTTTCGATCAAACAGGAAACAACTCATAAGGGAACTGGCTTCTTTTGGAATGGCCTTAAAGGACTCTTCCTGCTCTGATGCATGGCCTTTCCAGGTGCGTAGGAAGTACCACAATGGCAGATGTACTAGATGACGTTAAAAAAGTCCTTGTGCCATATAACGGCTACTGCTGTGTTGGCAGCACATTGGGTGAACACAGCACATTGGGTGAATGCGGCGGTGCCCTAGCCAGGGGTTGACCCAATGAGGGGGGGACAGGTCTCCAGCCGGAAGAAGAGCCGAGGCAGAGGACGGAGCGGGGCAGGATCCCGCGTGGTGGGGAAAGTGGGATTCCTCTCGAAAGGTAGCCTGGAAAAGGTGGGCCTAGCAGCCCTGAATCTTTAGCAATGAATGTGGATTCCTTTTGCACCGATTCCCCATGGGTTAGACAACGTGAGGCAGATTACAGAATGGGAGAATCACTCTGGTGAAAAAGCACCTCTAGCTCAGGGGCTCCCCCGCTGCCCAAAGGAAGCCCTGAGGGCCAGGGTGCAGCTCTCAGGTACAAGGGTGCAGATGTGGAGAGTCTCTGCCGAACAAAATGGCATTGCAAGGGATTTACCTCAGAGCAGAATTTGGACCCCAAGTCTGAGAAATAAGGCAACTTTATTGGCTGCCTCATGCACATTCCCTTCTCTGAGTGCACCAAGAGGAACAGAGGGCCTCGTTAGCTGGTGCCGCGACCACCTGCAGGCATTCTGAGTGCTCAGCAAACGTCCCACGGCACAGGGGGAGGGGCTGAATTTACCCAAGAAGTTTGCCTCCAAAACTTTGTACCCATTCCTCAACTGGCCCTCTGTGACAGAACAGCCGCTGGCTGTGTGTTCTCTGGGAAGAGGCGGGCTGGGCCACGGTGTAGTGCTGTGGTTAAGTACGGCTTCACCTCTGCCTTTTTACAGCTTGTGAGCTGTGTGATAAAGCAGCGCTTTGTTTTCTGGCTCAGTCTCGGGGTATTGTGTACATGTACCGTGAGTGCAACTTCTCCCTCTGCTCGAGGGAAATGAACCCGGCCTGACCTGAATGAAGACGAGACCGCTCTGCTGCCACCCAGGGTTACAATACACTGGGGCTCAAAGGGGTCTTCCGGAGGGCAGTTTCCTACCTACTGGGTTTAATGGCCGGATCCAGCCGTCACCATGAAAGGGAACTGCTCTAAGATTGGAGAGTGCGGAACATACGTCAGCAGGGGTATTGTGCAGTCTAATTAACTTGTGGAGCAGTCTGAGATGGTGGGATGGAAAGTTCTGTAGAAGGGCAACGTATTTTTATGAATATTATTGCTACTGTGTTAATGGGCAGGACAAGGGGCAATGGGTTCAAACTACAGCATGGTAGATTAAATCTCAGGAAAAACTTCCTAACTGTAAGAACAGTAGGACAATGGCACAGAGGCCTAGGGAGGTTGTGGAAGCTCTGTCACTGGAGGTTTTCAAAAGGAGGCTGGAGCCATCTGTCTTGGATGGTTTAGCCACAACAAATCTGACATCTTGGCAGGCCGTTAGACTAGGTGACCCTTGTGGTCCCTTCTAACCCTTTGGCTCTATGAATGACTAGCTGCTCCTTTACGATGAGCATCTTGCTGAGGCTACTTGGGTTTACATCTGGTTTAAGTCTGGTCAGGTTCCTTTTTGCCATGGATCCAAGACTCCATAACATCCTTCCAGCTACCGTTGGGAAGGCTGATGCTGTCTCAGCTTCCTAGCATCCCCCCTTTTCCATTCTGGTGGCCTCAACAGCTGTTCTCGGTGACTGGGTTCCCTTGAACACCTCAAGGTAATGGCCGGGACAGTACTCAGAGCGTACACTTAAATGGCACGGACAAGACGGTATGTTCCAGAGTGAAGATAAACCACATGTGCTGCAATTAATGGCTTGTCGTGTTGGCCGAGCTCCGAGTTCTCTCTCTGATGCTACCTGATTTCCACTGTACCCTTGGGGACAGATTCAGCAGAGTGGCCTCGAAGAGGTGCACAAAGTCAATTACTTTTCCAAGGGTTTGTAAAGCTACTACTTGGGGGAAGGAGATGGGGGCAGTGGGAGGGGAAGTAATGCAAATGACAATACAGGGGAGGGGATGTAAGCCTGCATTGCGCCTCAGTTTCCCCCAAATAAAAAGGATAAGACTTACCCATGAGAATGAGTGAGGGGAGCTCTGAGGCACATGATCATCTGCTCTAATCTCCTTTGAGACTCTCAAGTGCTATAGCCGTGCAAAAAGTTCTATTAACAGCAGTACATTGGTAGTATGTTAGCAGTCATCCAGTCTTTAAAGCAGCTGGTAAGCAGTTTATTTACGAGAAAAAAAATGACGTGTTTCCCTGGGCCAAGACCAGCAATGTCCTTCCCAAGCCTGTGTAAGAAGGAAAGCAATCTCAAGAAGTGAAAGCTTGGGAAGAGGGTTATGATACCAAAGGAGTGTTGGCCAGTGGGTAGTGCAGGGGTCTGGGAGCTAGGACTCATGGGTCCCATGACCAACTTTGCCACTGACTTGCTATGAGAATTGGGGCAAGTCACTTAGCCCTTCTGTGCCTGTTTACACATCTGCAAAATGGAGTTAATTATAGAATATCAGGGTTGGAAGGGACCTCAGGAGGTCATCTAGTCCAACCCCCTGCTCCAAGCAGGACCAATCCCCAATTTTTGCCCCAGATCCCTAAATGGCCCCCTCAAAGATTGAGTTCACAACCCTGGGTTTAGCAGGCCAATGCTCAAATCACTGAGCTATCCCTCCCCCCATTATACTCCCCTGCCTCTTGGGGGACGACTGATTCCCTAGTGTCTGTAAATCACTTTGAGATCCTCTGATGAAAAGTAAGACGCATTGTTATAGTTCTGAAGTGAAGTGGACACTTTGAATTTTTCCTGTGCACACTGAGGCCTGGTCTATGCTTAGAGCTTAGGTCAGCTTAGCCATGGCTCTCAGGGGTGTGAAAAATCCATGCCGCTGACCGCTGTAGCAAAGCTGAGCTTGTAGATGCAGCTAGTTTGATGAAAGGATGCTTCCTCCGACCTCGATACCATTGCTGGGAGAGGTGGTTTTCCTACAGTGATAGAAAAGACCCTTCCATCAGTACAGACAGCGTCTACACTACAGGTTACGCTGACATACCTATGTGGCGTAGCTACGCTGCTCTAGCCCCTGTAGCGTAGACAAGCCTTAGTAATCAACGA